ATTTTAAATCCACACTCATCTTCTTCCAGTCCAGCTTCCCTTAATATATATTCCGCATATAGGTTGAATAAGAGAAGTATGCAGCCTTGTCTCGCTCCTTTGCCAACCTGGAGCCAGTCTCTTTCACCATGTTCTGTCTGTACCGTGGCTTTCTGACCTGTCTATATTTCTCATGAGGACAGTGAGATGTTCTGGGATTCCCATTTTCCTGAGCAGATTTCACAGCTTGACGTGATTGACACAATCAAAGGCCTTTCCGTTATATTGACTTTTTTGAGGTATTATTTGGCTTTCTCAATTATCCGGTATGCATCAGCAATAATGTCTTGTGGTCCTTGGCCTTTTCTAAAGCCAGCTTGAACATCTAGCATCTCTTTTTCCATGTACGGTTGTAATCTGCGGATGATTCTAAACATTATATTGCTAATGTGTGAAATTAAGGATATTGTATGATAAATTGCACACACTCTCCTTTTTTTAGTATTGAAATATAGATTTTAGTACTGAAATATAGATTGACTTCTTCCAATCTGTTGGCCACTATATTGTTCTCCAGATTTGCTGGCACAGCTTGGTTAGAACCTTGACTGCTTTTTCTGTTGCTTGCCATGTTAATGTGGGTCTTCCATCAGTTCCTGTAGCCTTCTGACTTGGTAACAACCACAGTGCTGATCTAACTTCATCTTCTAGTACTAGAGGTTCTTGTAAGCAGGGAGTATCTTCTACAGTATCTTGGATGTCGGCATCTCTACTGTACGGTATTTCAGTATACTCTTTCCATCTTTTTCTGATCTTCTTTGAATCAGTTACTGTCTGTCCACTGGTGTCCTTTTGAGGTCGGAACCTCCTTCTGAATTCAGAGACCTTTTGAAAGACTTTTCCTTGTTTTTCCATGTCTCTTTCCATCCTCAGTGTATTTACAGATATTGTAATACTATTTCTTGTCTCTTCTAACAGCTGTCTGGAATTCTTTGTTACATTCCTTTCTGAGATTTGTATCTTTCTTGGCGATTTCCATGGTTGGTTCTGATATCCAGCTTGCTTTCTTCTGTTTCTTGGTCTTTGGCAGTCCCTTTTCACATTCACCCTTAACAACTTCTTTAAGTTAATTCCATAATTCTTCTGGTTCTCTATCAATGAGGTTCAGGACTTCAAAGTGATTCCTGATGTTCTCCTTGAACATAGTGGGTATGTGTTCAGGATCATAGAAAGGAAACTTGACTGGCTTTCTTCTTCTTCTTTAGCTTAACTCAGAGCTTGCACACAAGCAGTTCACGATCCGTTCTATAGCCAGCCCCTGGTTTATATATAGCCTTTGGTGCTATAATTGAGCTCCTCCACCTTCACCTGTTACACCCCCCACCCCAAAGTTTCCTTTTTGTTTCTTTTTCCCTTAATATTCACCCAGATGCTTTCAGTAGGGTTTTCACCCTTGGGGTCACAAATTTCCTTCCAGATGCAGTCAGTATTTGTGTGTGTGTGTGTGTGTGTAAATATAAATATAAATATAATGCGGTCCCCTCCCTTTTTATGAGTTTCTTTTGAGCAAGTTATCCTTCTAGTTCTGTATTCCAGTCATGAGTTCTATCCCATCAGGTAAGAATTGAATTGATTTGACTTTTCTAATTGAATTAGGAATTTGAGCTGGATCAAACTGTGATTTTTGCTGCCCCTTCAATACTAATATGAGAAACCTATTGACTTCTGTAATTCAGTCCCACCATCCCCAGGCCCACATTCTTTTTTTTAAAAAAACTTTCCATTGTTTGGCCTCATTTATTTAACTAAGCAGAATAAACAGAAAAAGAAAAAGAAGGTTTTATATACAGGAGCACCTCGTGTGTGTATGTGTGTGTGTGTGTGTGTACACACACACGAACGCGCACACACTTCAATAAAGTGTGACTATATTTCATTTTAATTGTCCATGCATAGCTTGCTTCTGTAGGCAGCTGTTCATACACCACATCAGGTCTTCACTTCACTGAGTAATCGGGACCCTAAATGTACCTTCCCAGTGCTGAAGAACAAGTCTCTTAGCAATAAGACAGGCACAAACAACTTTGGGTAAAACTTTCTCTGAGTCTGTGTGCAGAGTAGCCCAGGAGAATTTGCTCCTGAAGAGGGGATGGTTTCCATTTGAAACGTATGGAATACTAATATTCTCACTCCTGTCTTCAAGTTGACTGGATTCATTGTAGGGATCTGAAGTTCCCCTGCTGGCTGTGGGCAGCAAGATGGGATCCTTGGCCCCGTCTCCCCTCTCTTGGAGGCAGGGATGCCACTGGTCAGCCCACACTCTGCCCTTCTGGGGCTGGCCAGGCGCAACGGCACAAAGCCAGGGGACAAGCCTGCACCCATGGCCAGTGGCCACAGCAAGGAGTGCTCCTTGTGGGCCAGGAGTAGCCCTTTCAGGTCTGTTGGGAGATAGAAAGAGGAGGTCTAAACCTGCAGGGGATGCTGCCCGCCCATAAAACCGGCTCATGCCCTCAGTCACGTGGGCTGCAGGTTGGCGATCTGAAACAGCTTGTGCTTCTCCTTCCCAGGAAGGCGATTGAGGGGCTGCTTGCCCTCAGTGAAGATGGCTGCTCCCCCATCTCCATCCAGCAGATGGCCTACGGTGCGTTTCTGGGGGGATGGGTCTGTGGTCCCTGGGCAAGGAAAGCCACTGCCAACATTACATTCCAAGGCACTGGGGGCTCAGAGACCTCGCTGTGACTCCTGCAGAGGGAGGAAGGGTGGGGGGCCAGTGCTCCCTGGGGTGCCAGAGGTTCTGGTGGCAGTGGAGGAAGGAGGGCTTCAAGCCAGGCCCCTGCTGGTGAACACCAGCCCCCAAGGAAGCCCCTTCCCTGGATGGGGGAAGAGGAGGAGGCCGGGAGGAGCCTGAAACTGAATTTGGCCAAAGGTCCTGCTGGGTTGGGGGATGGGCAGCCAGGCTGGCCCTTCTGGGCCCCTGCTCAGGCCAGTGCCTTCTGTCCCCACAGTGGCTGGCCTGGGGTTCGGACTCATGAGTGGCGCCTTTGCCATGATCAACTTGCTGGCAGATGCTCTGGGGCCTGGCATTGTGGGCATCCATGGAGACTCCCAGCTCTATTTCCTGACTTCAGGTACAGCTGTCCCAGCTTGGGAGGGGGGGCAGGGAAAGAAACCTTGTCCAGCCCCTCCCCTAACTGTCTGTGTCCCCACAGCCTTCATGACTCTTGTGCTGATCCTGCTGCACACCTTTTGGGGCATCATCTTCTTCCATGGCTGTGAGACACAGCGCTGGGGGGAAGTGGCGGCTGTGGTACTCTGCCATCTCATTGTCTCTGCCCTTGTGAGTAGCACCCCTAAAAATGGGGGAGGAGACTGCAACAAACATACAAACCCACTGGCACCGCCCAGGCCCCTCTGCTTTAGCTGCACCCCATCCCCCATGGCCAGAAAGGGTCACAGCACCCTTTGTGCTTGCGAGGTCTTGGTGTCAGTGCTATGATGGTTTGGATGTCTGCCTCCCACGTGGCCCCATGGAAATTCAGGGCCCCAGCCAGACAAGGCAACCCCCCCCCCCAAACTGCCCATCTTTGTGAGCTCTGTCTGCCATAGAGGCTGGAGGACGTTGGGTGTCCCGGCCAGCAGAGTTCAGGTCACGGCAGTGGTAGGCCATTCCCCCTCCTGGTTTTGCAACTGCTGTGACCCCCCTGCCACTCCGCTTTGCTGGTCTCCAGCCTCAGAGGAAGGCAAGAGGGCTTCCCATTTCATTTGCATGGACACCCAACCCCCAGGCACGGGGGGCAAGGGGCAGAAGAGATGGCTGGAGCGCCATCTTCCCTCCCCCTTCGCCATCCAGTCAGAGGCCAGCTGGGAGGGCGACCTGGGCCTGTGTGACGGCTAACCCTGCGCTTCTGCTTGCAGACCTTCTGGAACCCCCTCTATCTGGGCAGCCTCTTGCCAGCATACCTCCTCATGGTGGCTATGGCGGTGTGGGCCTACCTCCTCTCCGGAGGCTCAAAACAGAACTTGCAGCACTTCCTCCTATGTGAGTACGGCCGGAGGCATCCCTGCTCCTGCCCGAGGCTTCCTCAGGCCCCCACCCCCCTTGGCCATCATCCCCAGGGCTAGCCCCCCTGCCCCTATCCCTGGCCAGCTGGCTCGGCCGTCTCCAAGCGCTCTTCTCCATTTCACAGGCCTGCGGACCGCGCCCCAGGCAGGATCCTGAGCCTTCAGCCACCCTGCAAGGAAACTGGGCCCTAGACTCTGCGTCTGGTACCACTCTGGAGGACACGTGATGATTGTGCCTTTGGAACATTTGGGGCCAAAGATGGGAGCAGGACTGTGGAACGGCTGCCCCCCAACCAATCCCAGGAAATACTGCTGTGAAGCGGCCCCTGGTTTGCACGGTGCCCCCTTCCTGAACCCTGCTATATCCCCCCTTTGGCTCCTGGTGCTTGTTGGGGTGGGAGGGGAAGGGCTGTTGGCCAAGAGCCAGGCGGAAGCAGCCAAGCGCCTCTGTGGGGTGCAGAGAAAGGGCCGTTGACCTGGGGCTGTGGAGAGACAGGCGGGGCTGGCCTGCGGTGCTTGGAAGCTGGGGGCAGAACTGAGCTACTGTTTCCCTTCTTAAGTAGTACCAATAAAGAGACTGGAGAAAAGCTTGTGTGT